TGGACACAGAAACCAAGCAGGGAGGTTAGATGCTCTTGTGATGGTACATGGATGGAGGCATGTGTCGTTAGGAATAGAGCGAAAGTTAGAGAATGTACCTGAAGCACAGGAAGTCCCAAACCAATGAGCAAGCATCTTTGGTTGTGGATATGTCACAAGATAGAAAATTCCATAAACAAATGTGTTTTATTCATCACTGAATATTTATGGTGACTTCACAACAGGGGCACGTGCAAATAATTTCTGAAACCTCATATTAATCATTGCCTATGTTTATCCAGAAAATGGGATTTCAAGGATGTTTTCTCCTTTACTTCTCAAGTTAATTTTTTTGTAAAGTTTTCCTGTATGAGTGTTTAACTTCTGTGCTGTTTGTTCTTCAGACATATCAGGCTTATACACATCATATTTCTTAGTTATTTAACAGCCACCCTCTTCATTGCTTTAACTTGGCTGACAGGCAACTTTTTACCCCATTATGTGGTTTGATTCCCCCCATCCTTCCTGCCTCTGTTAACTGTGGCCAGCTCATTTACTCCCTCTGTTTTCATGCTTCATTCTTTTAATTTAACCTATTGCAGAAATCCTCTCACCAAAGCCAAAGTTGTCTATAACTTCATTGGCTATTACAAGGTTGCTATATGACTTTACCTTATTTACCTTAAAATATTTATTTCGGTACAAATTTTTCATCAGCTTTCCTGTTTGTTTCCCCCTGGTTCTGGTGTGGTTTGTGGTAAAGGAATGTCAGGACCATGTCTATGAAATGTCTCTAATGAGTCAGTCTCCTGAATACCCGCTGTGTGTGGAAATGTCATCGATCAGCTGGCTGAGGGCTCTTTCCCTCCACCTGGATAGGCAAGATGCTCTCCCACTTCTGGTCCTGGCAGCCTTGCTCCCCTTTTACCCTCAGGGTTTGCAGAAATGATTCGTAGCCACTGCTGGGAGATCAGCAACATTTAGTGCCTTGTAATGTTCAGTTTTTCTCCAAACTTGATGACCATGACCCTCAGCGTTCAAGGTTCAGACCCTAGGGCTCTGCTGGACCCTTGGCAGAACCGTGTTTGAACTCTCAGCCTAAGGTCTGAAAACCTTGTCCATTACCACTAGGTATCTCTCCAGGATTTTCCCAGCAACAAGGACCTTTGTTTCTGTTCTCTCCTCTTTCAGGCTCAGCTCTGCCTGCTCTGTCCTCTTTCTCCTTCTTTCCTTCTCCCTCCACCCTGGCTGGTCACAAACCGATCAGCTGCTTCCTCTTCAGCTGTCCAGAAGCAGCAACCTTGTTGTGGTCACAGCATGGCCAGCTTGCACTCGGGGGTCCTGCCTCTGCCTCTGGTGTTCTGTGGCCTGTGCTCTCTGCTTTCCCTGCTGCTATTTCCCTAGTGTTAGCAGCTCAGCTTGGACTGCTTAGAGAAAACATGACAAGGCCACTTCAGAGGAGCCTTTTTTGAGGACTCATGTTGCAACATCAGGCAGGGCACTTCCAGCAGACTTGGTGAGCCAGATCCACCTTCCTGAGAAGCTTGAGCAAAGACCAGTCATGGCCTTGGGTTTCTGACCATTCACAGCACTATGTTTGGATCAGTCACAGCCTTGACTCTTGCACCAGTCACAGGATTTGAGGCTTGTGTTTTGGAGCAGACACAGGCTGGACTCCAGGGTCATCTAGAACTCAGTGAACCTTCTGAGAGCAAAGAATGTGGTTTAAACTGTTCCTGATATCTAAACCAAACTTAGTGACTTAATACAATGGTATTAAGTCACTAATAAAATGGTATGTGTGTGTGAGATGAATGAGTGACTATATGTGAGTGAATTTATGTGACTGTTTGTTCTTGAGTCTTGAGTGTGGAGCACACCTATGTCCATGTGTGGAGGTCAGAGGACAACTGTGTGCATTGGTCCTCTCACCTTTCCACTTTGTTTGAGACTGTGTATTGTTTGCTGCTCCCTTAGGCAGACTAAGAGGCCGAAGACCTTCTGAAGACTGTCCTGTGTCCAACTCCCTTCTTCTCATAGGGGCACACTAGGATTGCAGATGTTTTCAATTCTACATAGGTCTTAGTTGGGTTCTGGTCATCCCAGTTCAGGTCATCTCGCTCCTCAGCTTACAAATGATATCTTCCATCGCAGTCTGTAAGTCAAGTATCGGGCATAAATGAGCTGGAAAAGGAAGATACTGCATGCCTAAGACAGACAGGAACTTGGGTTCTGTGCTAGAGTACCCATCCAATGTATGAGACCCCGAGTTTGAGCCACCGAGCAGGAGAGAAAGGGGGGAGAGGAGGGGAAAAGATACAAGAACCACTTCCTTGTCATATATATGAGAACCCCAACGTGCACACTGAGCTCTCTTGCTTGGCCTCTGTTTCACGCCCGGATACCCTGGTACAGACTGTAGCACTGGTAATGTTGTCGGCTTCTTCAGGGACAAGAATGTAGCAAGTTAAACCTGCTTCTTAAGATGCCAATGCTGACACAAGAGTCACAGCGCTAAGGCTGGATTCAAGGAGGCTCGCAGTACAATCCCTTTCTTACATTTTATGCAGGAAGTGTCCTCTGAAGGAGGCTCAAGTGTCGATGTTTTGGTCCTCAGCTTGATTACAGATGCAGTTGATGAGAGGTCATTAGGGAATGAAGAAGTGCTCCCTGCTTTAAGTTTTTCTTTCAGCCGTTTTTAATAGAGATATAAAGTCCCACTAACACCCCTTGGAAAGATGACAAGAGGGGGACAAAACAAAACAAAACAAAACGGAAGTGTTTCTAGATATGTTCAATATTTCCCTGAAGCCTTCCAGAATCCACTTTTGCTATCCAGTTTAAGTATAGGAAATGTCTATTACCAATAAGCACCTATGCAAATGAAGCATGCTGCCAGTAGTCAGGGCAAGTTGGAGTGTTTCCACGCTCTTGGTGCCTTCTTCAGGGAGTAGCAATGTGACTGAGAAACCTCATCTAAAGCAAGGCTATAGTACACATTGGAATACAGTGTAATGAGAACTGGCAGCCACAGGAGTGAGTACTCTAGGGCGCTGATGGTTGTTGGGGCTTTCCTTTTAGGGGTTCAAGAGAAGGAGTGTGGTTATGAGGAGCTTAATTTGGGTGGTTCTCTGATTTGACTGACAAGCTTGGATTGCCTAAACCCTTCCCACAACATGTCTGTTTTTAATGATACACATGTTCAGTTATTCTGGCCTCAGATGGTAAATAGAAGATTCTCTCAACAGGTTTGCTTTGCCTTATTGAGCACACACCCAAGACCAGTCTAGACTGGACTGACCCATTTCCCATAGTTTCAAGATACATTAATATTATGTTTGATTAGAAACTGTCAATGCTTGATGGTCCTCAGAGGGATGAAAAATTTGTATTGTTTAAAGTAGGTGAAAAGTGCAGCTTTATGGGTGTGGAGGTCTTGGGGTGCAAACAGATCACGAGGTGCTTTGTTTAGACATGGGACATGTTTGCATAGCATGTACAGGAAAGGAACCTGGGCTCCCAAGTGCTTTAACAAAAGAGAGGTGTGTGAGGAACTCAAATAAAGTAGATTCCCAAGTTACTAAAGTGTTTCCTAAGCTGGCCTGCTCTGTTGCAATATGTTCACTCCTGCTAAATGCCAGGAGCAGTGTTTTGGTTGTTGTTTCTGTAGAAATTTGTAGTTAGTAGGGTCCTTTTCTGCTACCCACCCTAGCTCCCAAAGAGAAGACATGGAGTCTTATGAGATTTATTCAACAAGTTTTAAGCTCTAACTACTCAGCTATTTCTCTATTCTCACCCAATTAGGCTAGTCTGGCTCCCTCCCTGCCACGAGCTCTTTTACTTGCCATCTCAGTTTTGCCTTGGCCTTCTGCCAGAACTCTCCATCCTCATGGCAAACTCCTCAAGTTCCTCCTTGTGGTGACTTCCTTCTCCCTTCTCCTCTTTTTCCTTTCTCTCTCTCTCTCTCTCTCTCTCTCTCTCTCTCTCTCTCACTCTCTGTCTCTCTCATCTTCCTCCTCCTCTCTCTTTGTCCCTCTCTCTTTCTACCTGAGACCTCAGACTGGGAATGGGAGTCCTGTCTGCTCTCTCCTCTGTCCAGTCATCAGTTCATCAGCTTCTTTATTAGCCTCTCAGGGACAATTGGGGAGCATTCTTTACACAACATTGAGACAGGATATTCTTCAGAGAAATGACAATGTTCACATTCAGACTGGAACTGAGTTTCGGGGCACAGCATCTGAATACAAAGTGTATGAGAACATCCCCCAATAGTTTCTGATTTATTTACTAAGTTGCCCAATTTATTAGTTACTTATCTTGTTTTTGTGATAAAACACAGTAAGTGAGGTGGCTTCGAGAAGAGTTTAATTTGGCTTTTCAATCAAGAGGGTTGGAGTCCATACAGGCAAGAAAGCAGAAAGCATGGCAGCTGGAGTAGACAGCTGAGAGCTCACATTTTGAACTGGAAGCATGAAGTAGAGCAAGCTACAAATAGCTGGGGCTTTTGCTCCCTAAGGCCACCTCCAGTGACATTCCTCCAGCCAGGCTGCACTCCCTGAACCTTCTCACACAGTGTCACCAATTGGGGTCAAGTGGTAAAATATGCCTCAGGCTATAGAGGACATTTATCATTTAATGCACATACTGAGGCTGGCCTTGAACTCATGACCCTCCTGGATCAGCCTTCCCACTGCCATTAACATAGGCATGAGCTACCAGTTTCTGCATTGCAAGCATTTTAATAATGATTTTGCGAATAGTTTTCTGTGGCTGCTTTGCAGATGAGCTCAGACACAAACAGTGAGGGTCACCGTCTCCAGGATTTGAATCTGGTGCCCCTCAGCTGCCTGGGCTTCTCTCCATAGAACACCTCTCTTAGAATGGCACATCTATATCTCTGTCCATTCACATTTACAGAATAAAGAATGTGTAAGCATCACGCTGCTGTTAGAATCCATGCGTTGTGCCACTATGTGCACTGGGAGAGCTGACAGCAGGGAAAAGCAGAGACAGACTGAGCGCAGAGATCTGCTCTGCATGGTTAAGTAATGGAGATGCGATTCACAATCAGGAGTCATTGCAAACGGTATTATGTTTTGGTTCCTTTTGGCAGATCCAGCGGTTGTCTGAACCACAGCCCTCAGAAAATACTTTGTCCTTTGAGATGCTGACACAGCTGTCTGCTTTAGCTTCACCAATGACCTTTAATCTGAGGAGGAAGAGAATAGCTGCTCTTAGCATTTAGGATTTTCTCATAATTATCCTGTCAGCCATTGTTTTCCTTTGGACTTTAAAGGAAAGAGTAGAATGCACAATTATAGATTATAGTAAATACAAACATAATGTTGTAAAGGTTAAAGGCAGAGATGATAGAAACCTCTAAAACTTGTTGTTTCTTCATTGGCTAAGACCCTTCCAGCAAAAGTCTTCATCATGATGCAAAGGCAGTAAAAGGCTTAGAGATCATTAGTCTTTTCACTCCGCTACAGACACTGCGTGTGCAAAGCTTCATTTGGCTGAGCTTCAGTTTTCCTTAATATACAGAGGTACGGGAGGAAGAGATGGCTCAGTGGTTAAGAGCACTGGCTGCTCTGGCAAAGGATCTGGGTCCAATTCCCAGCACCCCCACAGTTGCTCACAGTGTCTGTAACCCCGGCCCCAAGGGATCTCATACAATCCTCTGGCTTCCATGGACACCAGGCATTCATGTGGTACACATATACACATGCAGGCAAACACACCTACACATAAGACAAAATGAATAAATCTCTAAATAGATTAATAGCAGAAAACATAAATGTATGTATATACGTGTTAAATCACACATTTGTGATTTAACTAGCTAATGTTTGAGGAAGTATTGAGATAACCATGATCAAAGTGTGACAAAAGTTACACACAGTAGGCACTCAATGGATGTCTTCAAAATACAGATTATGTTCCCAGGGTCTGGATGCAGAGGTCTAAAGAGGCTCAGTTCACGTGACACACAGTCACAATTCCTTTCACAGTCACAGTTCCTTTCATTCTCTTTCCATAAGTGGGTAAGCATTTGATTAACATGTAAGTTTCCACTGTTCACGGCTCCAGTGGCTCCGTGCTGATGGAGACACTAACAGAGACAGTCTCAGGGTGGACTGGAAGAGAGAGATGACTTCATAATGCACTGATGGGTCTTAAAAAGAAGGTGGCCTGTGATAGTGGGAAGGGCTCCCCCACCAGTGTTCTTCCTTTGTTTAGTTCTTCGTGGAGCCACTTGAACTTCAGGGGCAAATCTGATGTTATCCTAGTGGTCAGCATTAGTCCAGCCGTGATTTGCCCTCTTTGTTTCTCCCATCCTTCAGGATCTTTCTTCAGGTTTCAGCATAAATTCCTTAAAACTGATCTGTTTAAGTCAAAGGCTTCCATACTTACTCAGCAATTAAAAATAAGGAAATCATGAATTTTGCAGGCAAATGGTTAGATCTAGAAAAAATCATCCTGAGTGAGTTATCCCAAAAGCAGAAAGACACAGATGGTATATTCTCACTTATATAGACCATTAAGATAGGATAAACACACCAAAATATGTACACCTAAAGAAGATAAACAAGAAAGAAGTCCAGGGGTAAAATGATCAATCCTCATCTAGAAAGACAAAGGGGGTGGACATTGGAAATAGGAGAAAACAAGTAACAGGACAGTAGCCTATCACAGAAGGCATCTGAAAGACTCTACCTAACAGTGTATCAAAGCAGATGCTGAGACCCATAAACAAACCTCTGTCAGAGTGTAGGGAATGATATGAAGAAAGGAGGAATGAGTGTATCCTAGAGAGGACAGGGAGCCCCACAGGGTCCAAATATATCTGAGCACAGGGGTCTTTTATGAGACTGTTTATCCAACCAAGGACCATGCATGGATACAACCTACAACCCCTGCTCAGACATAGCCAATGGTAGCTCAGTATCCAAGTGGGTTCCCTAGTAAGGGGGACAGGAATTGTTTCTGACATGAACTCATGAGCTTCCCCTCACCCCTGAGGGAGGAGCAGGCTTACTAGGCCAGAGATAAGGACATTGCAACCATCCTGAAGATACCTAATAAGCTAGGGCCAGATGGAAGGAGAGGAGGACACTCCCTCTCAGTGGACTCAGAAGGGGGCAGGGAGGAGATGAGAGAGGGAGGGAAGGATTGGGAGAGAAAAGGGGGAGGGCTACAGCTGGGTTACAAGTGAATGTATAAAATTATTTAAAAATTAAAAAAATTAAAAAAATGTAAATGGCTTCCTTTCCAAATTCCTTCAAGGCTTCCCGGGCCTTCTCCTACCAGGCACCTTAAGAATTTTCTAACTTTCCTTATTAATTCCCCAAATTACCTGTGGGGCAAACTGATTATCTGTCTCTTTTTTCTACCTGAAAGGCAGGGACAGAGAATTGAAACAGAAGTGGGGATTGTTTGACTGACACTCTTTCGACTGAGGGTGGCAGTCTCCAGGTTTACCATTGGCTTTTGCCTAATCACAGTGTCATTTAGTCCTCAGAGTAAAATGGCAGATTCACTGAGCTTAATCTGTATACTTCATATATAGTTCTCTACTCTATGCCAACTTTTTGTGTTTAACAATTTCTATGCTTAATAAATTGTCATTACATTTTTTATAAACCTAAATGTGTTTCAGCATTTTACATTTCAATCTCATGTGTTCTGAGTAACAAGTTGTATATTTTCCATATCAACTTGTATGAATTGCTTAAGTTTATTCAAACAAGATTATTAAAATAGTTCTCAATATCATTCCTGAAAACCCCACTGGAAGCACTGTAAAGAAATATGACTGAGTCTTACATACTTTTGCTTATGAAAGGAATGAATATTTTGCTATGCAAACAATCATGGATTCTGCTAAAATATATAAGTTAACTCTAAAGTGTCAGCTCTCTTGTTGTATTCACAATTAGCATGACAATCTCACACAATAAGAAATTGACAAAATGCCAAACATCTTCTTTGTGAGCTACACACAATTGCAGTTTTGATGCCAAGTACCCTAAAAGGTCCTGTGTGAGGTAGCTGTGATGCTGTTAAGAGGTGACTGGATCATGGGAGCGATAACTCCACCAAAGAGTCAACCCATTGCTGAGTTCCCAGCCAAGGAAATGAGGCCCCAAGAAAAATGTAGGTCATGGAGGCCAGGCCTTTGAAGGTCAGATCTCTGCCTCATTCCCTCCCTGTGGGCTTGCCAACTTCCTAGCTCCCTACCCACCAAAAGGTAAGCAGCTTGTGCCCTTATAACCATATTTCTGCATTGCCACAGGACTAGCAACAATGGAGCGAACTGAAAATGGCTTTGAGGCCCCTTGAACTGTGATCCAAAATGATTTTTCACTCTTGTTTATCTGTGATATTTTATTACAACAACAAAAGCTGATTCATGCCTGTCTCCTTCACAGGTCCTCAAATAATTGTATCTTTCATAACCGTAAACTAGGTGCAACCTGTGACGATGTGGTCATTTCTCTGAGCTGTCAAAGCTCCATGCTGACACTTACTTCTTTTCCTTTCACACCCACACTTCCTCTGCTGGTTGTGACCTGAGAAACTGGCCTCATGAAACAATATGGGCCATTTTTCTTTCCAAAAGAGTTAGTCTAGTCCCTGGCCTTAGAACTCTATTGTATACATACATACCTGCTTGCATGCATGCATGAATGCATACATACACGTGACCTTATAAAATGCTGGTATCATTTCATACATGTAAAATTTCAACCACCTTTGGAATCATACTTTTTAGAGCCCTACAGTGTAATGACCTGAAATGTATATTCGAATTAGCATCTCTATACTCACACATCAGAGTTTAAAATAAAGCCGTTTATCCACTTCCAGGTCTTGTCCGGCAATTCAAAACTTAGTCCAATCCAAAATGAAAGGCCTCCTTCCTTTATCCAGTCCTGTAGGAATCTCTACAATCAAAACAGAGTAGGAGACTTAACCCTGAGACTGTGTCTGGATGGCACCTTCACCAGCCTTCTGAAGCCTAGTTCAACCTGTCTATGAACTGAGTGCCCAGGTAATTCTTCCTCCTTTGTGAAATCTGTGCCCATATTTATGATCCTAGGACACTCGCCTTCCATACACAGTGATCGGCTCCATGTCATTAGTTTCTCAGACTATGAGTTTCCTTAATGTCCCCACTTCCTTTGCATGGAAGATGTGTAAGTCTAGACGGTGGTGTAGCTTCAAGAACAGCTAACATCTCTATTTTGTTGAACAACTTACCAGCTCTTCTTGGTCTTGAACAAGCAGCAAAGTGGCTCCTTTCTGATTACAATCATCCAGACCTTCCTTCCAAGTGTTGGGAACTTGAGAAAAATGTATGCATTTATGTCTGTGTGGAATCCAGTCTTTTGGGCACATTGACTTAGCTGGACTCTCTGAAGTGAGAAGGAGACACGGAATATTTCTACCTGTTCTTACTGCACCACAGCCAGCTGCACACAGTAGTTGCTTTACTAACACACACTTTTACTAACAGGTGCAGGAACAAGAATTCTGTTATGACAGATCAAAAATATATATAACATACAATATATATACATATATATTCACTTTTGTTTCTGTTAATTAACTTTAGGAAATGTTAACTACTTGATACATAAGCTAAAACAAATATCCCATTTGAGCATTTCTGAAGTCAATGATCAAGTGTGCTAACACCCTGAGACAGTATGGCCAAGTAGTTAAGACCTCAGGCTTCAAGGTCACACAGTTTAAAGATGTTCCCAGCATTACCAACTACCCATCACGAGACCCTCAACAAGTTTCTATGCAGCAATTTCCTGTAACATAGGACTGGGGTGATACACTGTCTTCATGGATGGCTGTTGTAAGCCTTGGCTTACCCTCAGTAAATAGCAAATTTACCCTCAGTAAATAGCAAATTCAGCTATTATTCTTGAGAAATTCAAGCCACAAAGATTACCTGTTGTGTTACCTATGTTTTCTTGAATATACACACAGTGTTTGTCTATTGATGGTTTTTGTATTAGGACTCGAACTAGTAAATAAGAAAACACACAGAGAATTTAGTGCTGAAGTCAATGGTGTGACAGGTGTTTTATTTTTTATCTCTCACTCCAGGAAACTGAAGTTATTTCAACAAACCTGAATATCTGGATTGAAGAAATAATATTAGCAAACTGAGTTGAGAACCAGTTTAGAGACAGAATATATAAACAAAGAAGAAAAACTCAGAACATATGGATTCACACCACTGTAAAGTCACATCATATCTAATGGCCTTACAGAAACTCTTAACTTACCCACACTCAGGCCTGAATGATTATTACTACATCACTTTCAAGAAAGACAGCTTACTGCCATTGAAGTTTAACAACCATTTAATAAACTAAGCTTCTGAGCCGTTTAGGTTTCTTTGTTGTTATTGTTTTTGTCACAATTGTGACCTTTTTTTAGGTTCTGGGTACATGTGGGGTGTGTGATGGCAGGTGGGGGGACACTTGGAGTCAGCTCAGAACACACCCAGACACCAAATCCTCAGCACAAAGAAGATTTATTACCCTGGGGTGAAGAGGGGCTGTGTGTGCCTCTGGATCAGGCAAAGACAGCAGCAGGTATGCTTTCCAGAAGTGCGTTTTTAAGGAGAAAAATGGGAAGTCTGTGCTGGGGTGAGTTGGTAAGTGCTGTTTGTACTAACTTTAGCCAGTGTAGCCAAATAATGAATTTGGATTACTGGACCTTGATGTTTTGATAGTTGGACCTTGGTGTTCAGCCTCAAGAATAAGCTTGGCATAAGAAAGTGTTTAAATAAGGGACTGAACCTTTGGTGCCAGCTTTAGAAGGATAATCTAATTGTTTAGCAAAGGAGAGGAAAGGGGAAAGAGCAAAACCTGTTGGCCGCCATCTTTGCCATGCTCTGGTCTTTTAGAGATCCCCTGGTGACTCTCAGAGGAATTTGGAAGCATGAAGTGAATGTGAAGTTTCTGCCCAGGACATAGATACTGTCCTGTAGGCCCTCATGTCATTGGTGTTCCCCCAGGTTCAAAGGGCCAAGTCATCTGAAGAGGCAGTGATATTTGCAACAGAGAGAGGAAGAATTCTGAAGCAAAAGATCTTGCTTTACCTACCTAAGATGCTCATCCCAATCAGGGTCAAGAGAAGAAGGATCAGCCCAGCACAGCTGAGTTTCAGAGCCAGCCTGTGTGAACATGAGCACTGGCAGGCATCTGTGAAGGAAGGGAGGCAGTCATCTGTGCAGGAAGGGGGTCAAAGTATCTTTAAGGAGGATCTCTTTTAATCAAGAGACATTTTCGATGCTCAGTTTTTCAGTAATTGTTGCTCCACCTTGGATCTAGGGTATGACATCCAAGGAGAAGCATCCTGTGAGTACAGATGGTATTTTCAGTATTTCAATTGTGTTAGCCCCGCCTTATTGGCTGAGTTCCAAACCCCCTGAGAGATGAACTGAAACTATGGCTATCACCAGACAATATGCCTATATATGCACTGTTTTACACACACACACACACACACACACACACACACACACACACACACACACACATTGTGGCTATAGCTTTCATGGTGTTCTTTCCTTAAATAGAGTACTGTCATAATTGCTCTTTGTTGTGCTCTGTTCTGTTTCTGAGACAGGGTTGTCCATTAGTGCAGGCAGATCTCTAACTCTCTGTGTGGCTGATGATGACCTTGAGCTCTTGAGTCTCTTGCCTCCACCTCTCAGAGGATGGGATTATACACACTAGACATAAGTAGTCAAAACATAGAGAATAAGACACTGTGAAGTTCTCTAAATGGGACATATGCATCTAATCCCATTCCGAACCAAGGTTCAGGCATCATCACATAAGAGGGGGCAGAAGGACTGTAAAGCCATAAATGGTCGATAACTGCCATGAAACACTGTCTTCTGGACATAACAGGGCAGTTGCACATATGAACTCCAGGCCACTTGTGATAGCTCGCACAAGACCTTCAAAAGCTCAAGTCAGACAAATGTCCAGCATGGTGGGGGCAGTTGGGCATGAGGTTCCACCCCCAGCTGGGGAGATACTGGCAGTTGATGGGTGCTAGGAGTGGAAGAGTCAGTTTTCTTCAAGGATACAGTCCCTAAGAGGCCGCCTAAGCCCCATGATATGGCCCTACCGCCATGCACATGCTGGCAGCGCTCACTGGACTCAGCAGAAGAACAAACACCAAAACCTTTAGCTGTTTAAGTCCCTTCTTCCATGCTTGCATGTATGAACACAGAAATCAAACACTTGCTTGTGACTATCATAAATAACCAGCTCTGTCAAATCCCCCCTCTAATTATCAAAATCTCCCATTCTCTCCAGACGATGTAAAGTTCATAATGAAGCTTATTTGGTAACTCTTAAGATATTTTTCCTAGTTTAAAAAAAATCTGTTAATTTAACAGCTTCTGACAAGCAGCCTTAAAGAGTTGTGGTTCATGTTCTTGAGACAATACAGAAAGATTACATTTAAAACATTGCAGTAGTATATAAGGAAGCTCAGTTGTGTTACAGAAATTCACACTATACCATGACCACTTCAAACATACTTTCTGCCTCTGTGTCTGTCTCTTTTTATCCATCCCTAAATCATGGTATCCTCTATAAATGCCTCATATCAGTCCACATTTCTGGCAGACAGGGGGTCAGTTGCACCAGTGGTCAGTGCTAGGATGCTGTGGAGCTGAGGCATGGTTTTTGTGTTCTGTAGAGAAGTTTGGACCAGTTAAGAAGTTTGCTTTACAGCAAGGCTTCCTGCTAGAAGCACCCCTTTCCTTGTAGATGTAAAATATCCTCTCTTCAGGGTCTTGTGACTAAAGCCAAACAGAATGGTTGCACAAATTTCACACTGACTGATTGACTAAAAATGGAATGTGTGAGCATTTTTTTCTCACATTTTTTAGCCATCTACACTCTTCAGCACTGACAGGGAGCTGGTCATCTTAAAAGCAATAGCTTAAACCTGTAGGGAAAAAAATCATAACTCTGCAGGATATTATGACACTAAAAGGAGAAATAAAATTACTGACCTGGGGGAAGAGATGGAGGTGATGCACACTGAGACCCCCGAGTCCTGGGGGCCTTTAAATTTAAGTAGACTGTTGCTGTGTCCATTGCAGACAGAAGCTGGGACACTGAACTCGTGAGCAGGGACACAGTCCACGTCCTTTGAGGTAAAATGAGAAAAAGGAAGTCCTCTGCCAATGCCCTGCTGGGTTCACACCTACCACTCTTGTCTCTGTGGGTGTCTTTGTAGTTATTGGCCTTGGTGTCTGTCCAGCTCACACAGCTTACACACTATTGTCTTTTCTTGTTCTTTATTCTTCTCTCATACAGTACATCCTCACTGCAGGCTTTCTTCCACCCTCCTTTCCCCATACCTCCCCTTTCCCTGTGACATACTGCTCCTTTGTTTCCCTTCAGAAAAGAGAAGCCCTCCTGTGATGTCAGCCAAATACAGGATAAAAAGATGCAATAGGACTAGGTGTAAACTGTCATATCAAGGCTTGACAAGGCAAACCAGGAGGAGGAAAAGGGTCCGATGAGCAGGAAATAGACTCAGAGACACCCTGACCCCAACTGTTAGGAGTCCCACAAAAACCAAAGCTTTACACCCACAGCATGTATGCAGAGGGCCTAGCACAGACCCAGGCAGGCTTCATGATTGCTGCTTCAGTCTTTGAGAAACCCTATGAGCCCTGCTTAGCTGATTCTGTGGTCTGTGTTGTCCTGGCGTCCTCTGGCTCCCACAATCCTTCCTCCCCTCCTTCCATGGAGTTCCTTGAGCTCTGCCTGATGTTTGGCTGTGGGTCTGCTCCCATCACACGTTATCTTCAGAAAAGAAGGAATAACTTGGTGTTTCCTTTTCTTAACTAAAGAGAGGGGCTTTTTGTTCTGATTTCTGTAACCATCAGTTCTGAGTTATTCTCTCAGGGTTGTTGTTATGTACAATGATGAAAATCCCAACCATTCTATTTTACCAATGAGGACTCAGGAGTAAGATGCTGGGGTGAAAACCTGCTAGCTCAAAGAGGCAGAGAAAGCCCAAAAAGTTCAAAGCCCAAAAACCCAGGGCGCCAAGGAGCTGAAGTCAAACCTAAAGCCAGAGCTTGAGCTTTTTCTTCTCCACACTGTCTTAAATACCCCTCAACTCAAAGTCCATCCTACTCTTTAATCACTGTCAGTTGCTTTCATGTTCCACCTCTTGACTAAGGGTTAACTTTATTAGATCCGATATACAGAGAGCTCTTAGACTAAAGGTGTGTGCTAGACCTGGGTGTAACACACCATAATCACCTGCTTACAATAAACAGAAAGTTCATGGATTAAAGGAGTGAGATAGGGCTCAACCACAGCAAGGAAACAGGGTTTTACAGTTCACAGTTTTGGGGATCACAATGGGATCCTGCAATACAGGGTGGGTGAGCTCAGGGTGAGTGAAATATAGCATGCTTCCTCAGTTCAAACTGAAGTGAACACTTTCTCCAAATTATCAGCAATTAAAATAGATAATATATTCAGCTGTGTTGCAAAAATAAATTAATATGTGAAAATCCATGGTTATGTTTGACATGAGTGGAAGCTGTAAAATCCTCCTGAAACATCCAGGCTGCAAAGGAAGCTGTGGAATGTGGAAACAACATGAGCTTGGGAAATTTTCATGACTGACACAACAGGAAAAGCGATGAGGAGGGGCCATGTGTGCCACTCTGCACGGTCCTGCTCTGCACTGCACATGGCTGTGACAACATTCCCCTGAGTTAAGGACGTCATCTGTCAGAGCTACAGGGAGTGCAGGACGTAGGTCTCTGGGGTGTGCTGACTTCTCCAGGGATTTTGCAGGCCTAGAGCCTCAGAGCAGACATCAAATGCCAAGTCAGATATTCTCACATTACAGTGAGGAAAAGGAAAACACGGATTTCCTTCAAGTCACCTTTTATTTCGGAGTGGAATTGTTCAAGGCACTCACAGTTACTGGCAGTGAGGACAGTCTGACAGGTGTGAGTTCCAGAAGATCGGGGATGTGGACATACAACCCACATGGGGCTCACTCATTCCCTGAGACGATGATGACTATGAAGTGAGGGCAAACCTGTGGGGGTCTCACAGCTCACTTACGACTCAGTGCAACCCCTTGCAGCCATTTGATGACGGTCATCTCACTCAATGCCAGGAAGAGTGTTCTGTGTCAGGCTCCATCTATTTATTTTCTGCAGTGCTGGAAATTGAACTTAGGACCTCATGAATTCAAAGGAAGCACTCAATCACTGAACTGTGTTCCCAAGTGCTTTGCCAACACTGAAAACTTTAGCAATTACACAAGATTTTCCAGAGTTTTCCATCTTGAGTCATGATATTTTAAAATCAATATGGAGAATTTATGAAAATATTCTCAAATTATGGTACACAACAAATTTAGCATATAGGAAGGCCTTGAGCCTTAGTATTTAGAGAACTGTGTCCTCTGTGCTCTGACTTCCACAAACACAGTTAGGCATTCATTTGTGTTTTGCACACACAAACACTATCTATCTATCTATCTGTCTATCTATCTATCATCTATCTATCTATCTATCTATCTATCTATCTATCTATCTATCTATCTATCTATCTCTCAACGTTCTTAAACATTGTTTTAAATCTAAAAGCCAGTGACTAACATCATATTCAGTGATAGAAGACTGAAAACATTTTCTCTAGATCAGGAGTGTCTGCCCTCCCCTCTTCTACAGTGAGTGTAGAATCTCATCACGGATATATAGTGAAGTGAACAGGTGACATATTGCTGTGTTTGTACTGCGCTTGCATTTGCACTGGGGAGCAGATGTGAAATACATCCTGTGTTGGATTTTCTTGCATAAAGATTACCACACTGTGGGCACCTTAAACAATAAAATGTTCTGAGAGTTCTGGAAGTCAAAGTCTACAATCAGAGTGTTCTCAGAGTTGATTTCATCTGAGACCTCCCTCATTGTCTCAGAGCCATCTTCTTGTTCCTCCATGTCCTCCTCCCCTGTACCTGTGCCATAACCCTTTTGCTATCAGTCACAGCAGAGTGGGGTATAACTTCAAAGCTTCGTTTTAGCTAATGAACTGAGAGCCTGTCTCCAATGCAATCCCATTCTGAGGCACAACATATGAATGGGAGGGCCAAAGTTAATGACATAGCCTAGTGTGTTTAAACCAGTCTGGTGAGAACATTTTAATATTGTGAACATTGTAAAACATTTATTTATTTATTTATTTATTTGTTGATTGGTTGATTGATTTAATGCTTTTGTGTGAGTGAGAACATGCTATTTTGTATGAACTCATAAGAATTGTTTCTCTCCTTTCACCCTATAGGTTTTAGGGATCAAAGTCAGGCCATCAGGTTTGGCTGCAAGTGCTGTCATTCTCTGAGGCAGCTTTACCTGTAAATGATTATGTCTGTATATATGACTGAGTATCATAGCTGAGTGGATGGCTATTGATATACACAGGACAAATAACAAAGACTTGTGACTTCTAAATGCCAAGTGAAACTATTAATTAGCACCAGATGTTAAATGCAAACCCTTCTGAATGGGAAGCACTCTTCCTGACTTGTCCTACCATAAATGCCACTGGTACTCATAAAGCTTTCAAAACCATAATGGATAGGACATTGGCTAGAAGCCTCCCATATTCAAGGTTCAGAATTTTCCACTGCAAACAAGAGCAGGTCAGTTGTCTCTGTGCACAGGAAATAACAACCACAAAGGTCTCCAAAGAAGCAGGTTTTTGTAACTCTGGTCAGCAGACCCATTAACCATCTGTGTACCAACAGGCCTACTAGCATCTGTCTGGAGTCTACAAACATGGGATTTTTTTAACACATGTTCTATAACGAATATTCTATACTAGTTTTGTCAAAAACAAAGTTCGTAAATGGGGGAAAAGATGAGGGGACAGCCCTAGAACTCACTCTTCTCCAAGGCCCCCTTTCTTAAACAATATGGTCCCCTTATTAGGTGATCACTCTTGTTCAACCATTCAGTAAACAGCCACTTACATGTGTTCCAAGACACATTATTTGTTGGGAGGGTTGCATG